GATTGAAGATGCTTTTTGTTTGATTGAATAATAAAAACACAAATTTACCTCCATAGTGGAGGGGAAATGACAGCTTCAGCGAAGAGCTCAGTTTAAAAAATGGTCAAACTTCTGACTTGTTAAGCAGTTTGATTGCAACCGCTCTACAGGTAGAGTGTGTTGTGTGTGCGACACACAACACAGCACAATCTGATAAGCTGTCAACACATTTTGAAGATGACGCTATCTCTGAATAAGGAAAATGAAGGTGAAATCTGATGGACAGCAGGTTGCAGCCTGCAGGACAGATGACAGCAAAATAAAAAATAAAAATAAAACACCTGGAGTTCAGTAAGAGAAAGGTGACTATGAACACTTTATGCTTTAAACAAAATTTATCCTTGAAACTTTGAAGATGGAAACAGAAAGCCTCATTTCTGAACAAACAAATTTCAACTACTGTAGCTACAAACAGCTATAATGTTTTCATCATTTAAAGCATTTATCCTGTGGTTGATACAGACTGTTAGGATTATCTTTGACAAATAAAACAATAAAGTTAATAAAATGTGATCAGATGCATGAACAGAGAAAAAGAACATCTGGTGTGTCTATAATGTGTGTTTTTGATGTCACATATCCAGTGACTTCATTGTTTTTTTATTTGTATTTTTTACCAGTTTTAGTTGCAGGTGAGAAGAAGTTGAAGACCGGAGAGAAGATGGTTCCCAGTAGTGTTGTACGAGGAGGGCTGCTCGAAGTGTCGACGGCGGCCTCTAGTTTACCATTGGGCTTCAGGGGTTTATTGTTGCAGGTCACCGTGTCTGTGCAAAAATATTAAATAAATTAAATAAATAAGGCATGAATGTAGACATTTTATGGAAAAAAATATATATCTATTTGTGCTTAGACTAAAATAATAATTTTTAAATCTTAGACCTAGTTAAACACTACCCTCCAGAATTTTGAATATTTTACATCAAGTTGTTTTTTCAGCTCTAAGAGTGGGTTTGCACCTTTGCTTTGAGTTTTCTGGCAAACTCTGGAGACAGTTTTGTTTGCGAGATCTCTGGTCTGCGGTGTTGAAGTGATAAGATCATTCTCAGAATTACACTCAGTACGACTTCTCTTGGCTGGAATGTCCTGCTCCACCTGAAAGGGGAAAAAAGAAGTCTAAATTAGCCACAGTCCACACAAGTTCAACTTTACAGTACAGCCTAAATCAAAAAGAAAAAAAATTGTATAGGTCTTCTGGACGGGTTCTTCTTTAATGAAACGTTTCGTCTCTCCTCCCAAGAGACTTCTTCAGTCTGAGAGTTTCAGGCAAAATTCAGGCTTTTAAGCACTGCCTCCATGTGACTGATACTCACATCACATRKCKWTSRYWCCTAATTAACACCTATTGTTAACAGGGGGTGGAGTGATACTGGCAATAGCAGCACTGTAGGAGGGGGACAACTGAAAACGGAGGCTTCCACCTCTGTTTAATGATGGACGGTCTTTCTTCACAAAAATGGCTTCTTTTACTCCTCTCTCAAACCAACAGACCTCGCTATCAAGAATGAGAACATCCTCATCTCTGAAAGAGTGACCGCTGGCCTGTAAATGAGTGAAAACTGCAGAGTTCTGGCCATTAGATGTAGCTCGTCTGTGTTGGGACATTCTTTTGAACAGTGGCTGCTTTGTTTCCCCGATGTATAACTGGTCGCAGTCCTCCTGGCACTTAACAGCATATACAACATTGCTCTGTTTGGGCCGATTTACAGCCTAAATCCTTCTGAATAAAACTTTTGCCATTTTCAAACAGCTCGCTCAAGACAAAACTCAAACACCTTCTCATTGTGTTTGGAAGGGATGGTGGCAAAGCAACAAATCACGATGATGAACCATAATCATCACAGAAATCTCAGCTTTGATATTAGAAATATATCCTCCTTCAAGAGGAGCCAGCTGAGGTGTTTCAGGCATCTGGTAAGGATGCCTCTTTGGCACGTCTCTAAGGAGGTGTTCCAGGCATGTACGAGGCATGGCCTGATTCCAGAACAAGTGGAAGGTGGAACAAGACAGCTAGACACTTTTTATAGCAAGTTCTGTGATGAACTGGTACCATCACCCTGCTGCCCTGAACAGGAACAAGAAGGTAAAGAGGATATAGGAATGGATTATTTAACAGATATCAGCTTTCTAAAGGGGTAAAACTCATATCTGCTCAGCAAAACAGTTACTGACACCCTGTCCCATTTCTTCTAAAAAGTCCACAGTACAGTTGTTAAACATGACACAGAAATGATCAATAGGTCAAGTAGAAACATCTGATTGTTTTAAAATAAAATGTTTAACACATGTGTATGTAGTGCTGGGCGGTATACCGTTTTGTACCGAAAACCGTTTTTTATTTTGTTATATGACTTTTCTGAATACCGGTATAGCCTGAACATATGCGGAACATTTTGTCGCGGCCCCCAGGGAACTGTTTCCCTGGGGACACATTTCCTTGCAGCACCGCTAAGCGCATTAGCATGCTAATGTTATTGTTGGAACAACTGGCAGCGGGTGGTGTGTTTCAGCCGCTTATATGGTCTGACGTAAAAAAAACCATCCCTTTTTCACCATCGCTGTACAGTAAACAATGCTTCAGTGTTGTACACGGTTAGATTTAACGCGCTACGTTATAATGGAGACGTTAATGCATGGAGACTCTACCGTGCTTCTATTGTGAAAAGCCCGGGAAGAAGTATTTTTGTAGTGTAGCGGATTTGACTGATGTGCAAGGTGAGTCGTCCTTTTAAGTTTTATTAACATGTAACGATAGACCAGATAATGATTTTTTTTTCTCAACCTTTCACGATCGGACCTAAATGCATGATTACGTCTACAACCAGACAAAGAAGAAAAGACGTACAACAGGAGGGAAACAGTGATACAGAGGTACAGTAAAAGAAAAAAGTCAATAAGCAAAGTTTGTACATTTTATTATCAGCTGAGCTGTGAGGAAAAAAATACCGTCAAATACCGTGAAACCGGTGTAATTGTTGAAAATACTGTGATATAAAATTTGGGTCATACCGCCCAGCTCTATGTGGATGTTAAGGCCCTGTCACACTAGACAACTTATGCCAACTTATGAACATTTTAAAGATGTCTACGTTTAAGATGGAATTGAAAAAAATCAACAGGAAGCTTCTTTTTGACGTGTACATACTGTAATTCTAACAAATTGATCAAATATACAACTTTTATTAGCAGTTTAGACATAAAAAATGTTTCATAAGTTGTCTAGTGTGACAGGGCCTTTACATTGACACATACTAAACCCCTGACTGTCATTACTGATAAATAAACAGGAGCGTCCAACTCACTATCTGGGATGTAACTATGCATTACAGTGATGCACTCCCATGTGCACAGAGACTAATGGAGCTTAGATTAAACTTACAGATATCTGGGATCACTTTTAGTTTATCTTTAAAACATATTCCAGTTTCTATAATAGAGGACAACCCTACTTATCCATTTTTAAACAAATAATAAAACAAACTTTTTTCTTCATGTGACAACTGCATGCTTTCTTTCTTTTTTTTTTTAAACTCAGAAAAGCACATTTCTAAATATTAAATCAAGTAAATTAAAAGGTGTTATAAGTCTCACTAACATATCAACAGGTTTATTCTTAATATTGTTTTTGTTCCATTTACACATGTAAAATATGTCATATTATTAATGCTTTAAAACACTACTACCTAAAAAGATTAAGGTTATAGTTTCACTTGATTTGATTAATGTGCTGCAAAATGTCCTTTGATCTTTTTGTAACAGACAATCCTTTAGAGGCCAAAACAAACTAAAAGAGGAGCAATAAATCTTCACCAGCTCCTACCTTTACAGCATTTCCTCGAATAAATTTTTTTATGGTGGAGAACAGGCCCGTTTCGTTCTTCTGCATCTTGCCTCGACCTCTCACCGGGGACGGCTCCACTTCGCAATGTTTCCGTTTGGCCGGGGACGGGTGCTGAGGAGCTTTACGCACTCTCAGCTTCATCATGCTCCGCCGTCACATAGAAAAATCTGAAGAAAAAACAAAAATAACAGTGAGATGACTTTGGAAAACTTTTTTTTTTGTTGGTGACAGTCTCGCTGAGTTGTAAGTGACACTCTTGAGCATCTTTAAAACATCAAGACATTCCAAAAGTTCTCAACTTTGTTAAAAAAAGTTGGATTTTGTTGTGAATTTCTTCAACTCATCAAATCACTAGAGCAGAAAAAAGGGGAACGTCTACACTTCACAATGACGCTAAACATTATAGAAATGGATTTCCTGGTGCAGAAAACATTACATTTTCAAGGGAAATAATAGGATTATAAGACAGGATTATTTCTATAGAAATGCCTATTAGAAAACTTTCATTTAAAGATACATTTGGACAATATTTTGTTTTGGTTGCTCGGATTGCTAGAAGGTGTCTTTGTGGACTCATTTTAATGTAAATATCAATATTTTTCACTTATCTTGTGCTGCAGCCTGTGCTTATTATGACTCATTTTGCCAGCATGAGTCACATTAATTTAATGCTAAAGCACAGCATGTTAAAAAAAAGATTTAACAGCTAACATGATTTCCCCACTTAAGCCCAGAACAACTTGTGTACCAGTCATAATAAGCTTGCTCTGACTTACAAACTATGTGAGACAAATCCTGTTGCTAAAATAACTTTATTTTTTTATTAACTTGCCTTATAAACCATGCTAGTATATAGTTTGGACTTTGCAAATAGAATATTGCTTGTTTGGAAATTTCTAACATTATAATAATAATAATAATAATAATAATAATAATAATAATAATAATGTTATTATCTGCCTGTGTTAGTTTTTCAGCTTTCCTGTCTCAATTCACAGCAAATATTTATAAAAATATTTTCTTGCTTTAGCTGGATAATACTTACTTTAAACATTTATATGAGGGAAACTATAGTGTTGTAATGTGTAAACACAATTATTGTGTGTCATATTTAAGCTGGGAATAAAAGGGGGGCTGTAAAGTTGTATTCCATTGTATTGTGTTGAGCTGAGCTGGTGGGTAAATAAAAGCTGAATTAGTCATTAAAAGAAACAGTTTGCCCGGGTTCTGGTTCTGATGCCTGTCTGTCTGCAGCAGTTTCGCTTTGGACTCGTGTTTAGTCGATTGTTGTTAAATTACATCTGACAGCGAACTGCAGCCGACTGTCGTTATGTAACATCGGACAGGCTGCATTCAAACCAAACCAGAAGCAGTCAAGTGTCCAGTACTGGCCTCACAGAGTTGACGCTGACGGATAGTGTTCGGCGACAGAACATGAAGTAGATGTGGACCCAAAAGAACGCAGTCGGTCCAGTAGATGTGTTGTTATTTACGTTTAATGCTAACAAACCAGATGCTGTCAGCGGTGACTAACAGGTTACAGTTAGCATCGAGGCTAGCAAAACGCCACAGGCAGCAGAAGCAGAGCCGGAACACTATTCATCTCCCCACCAACAATACAATAGATCCACACTTAATGATGTAATTGTGCGGCAGGTGAGGAGTTTATTTGTTTATCTGCACAACAACGCGAATAAACAAGTCGTTTTGTTCGCCCAGCAACTATGTCCAGCCATTAGACTACGCCCCCTTCGCTGACTAACGTTAGCCGCTAAGCTAGCAAAGCAGTTACACTCCCTTTGCCGGGGACAAATGTTTTTTGTTGTTGTTTTGTTTGTTTACATGTTTGCTGCTTACCGATGGTAAATGGAAGCTCGGTCAAACTCCGCCGGAGCGCTGACACAACGTCGGGGGCCGCGAACCGTGGCGGCCACCCGATAGGGAAGTCGAGCCGTGGTGGTTTTCGCCGCCAGCTGCGTCCGTCGCTCAGCGGCGACGAGCCGAGTGTTCGGGCGCCATTTCCCGCCTCATCACAAACACAACGTTGGCGCTGCGCAGCACAGACTGCGACACGGACGTAACCAACGTGGCGGCGGGAGGGGGGGGTGCGGGCGCGGAGGAGAAAATGTAAATGTCTCCCTGCTGGTGCTGGTGTGGGACTACAGGAGAGCTTCAGATATGGAAGAAAAACAGCCAAATAACTACACATGAATCAGGTTTTTTGCATAATTATTCACTATTTCTGTTTACTTACACTCAAAAAATAGAACCGAGATACTTGTTGATTTAACTGAAATTAACTACATACCTAAAAAAACCAATTCATGTCAAAGTCACCGAGTTGGTTAAATATGCACTGGTGATAACAAACATTAAAAAATGGCTACATCAAATACTGGTTTCAACTTTGATATTGTAGTTGCTGAGTGTCGTGTTAGCAAAATATCACATTAACCACTGGTCATAAGATAAGATAGACCTTTATTGGCATTGTATAGGGCACAATAAAATTACAGTTCAGAAACACTCATTCAGAAGAAGACAGAACATAAACGTAGGAGAACAGGTGCCCTGGGTCACGCAGACACCAGAGCAAGGATCATCTTCATGAAGACATGAGGCGGCACAACCCTTAAAAGAAAAACTAAAAACCACACAAGGGAAGATGAGGGGGAAAAAACATTACATCAACAAATATCACACACTATGGTGTTTATTAAAAAAAAACTCTGCATAGAGCACATTTATTAGCCAGAGGAGTAAGTGAGTTTAGGGGTGTGTGTATCTGATGAAGCCATGAGTGTTGTATGCACTTGTGTGAATATCTGAAGAATGGGCCTCATGCAAGAACCGTTCGTACGCACAGATTTGTTCTTAAGTTGTGCGTACGAGTGATTTAGGAGAATTTGTGGCATTCACCAATGTTTTCGTATTCTAAGATTTTTTCAGATACAAACAAAATTCACGAGTGGTCCAGACCTGTCGTATATTTTACGAGCAGTCTGCTGTTATCCAGACGGGTTTTCTTCACTAATAACTTTTTATTTCGTTAGTTTGAAGATATTTTGAGTTGAAAATAAATCACACTCCATAATTATGTTGACAATAGGCTATTCTGCTTGAATTAGAGTTATAATTTTAAATGTAATAATTTAGACTAACAATATAAATTGTCCGTCTGGCCGGCTTACCCGCTATCGGGTGCGGGGGCAGCAGCAGAAAGACCCCGCTCTCCCCAGTGACACTTTCCAGCTCGTCCTGGGGGACTCCAAGACGTTCCCAGGCCAGAGGGGATAAATAATCCCTCCAGCGAGTCCTGGATTTTCTCCAAAGTACCAGACTTATTTTGAAATCGTTTTAAAATGCTTTTTTTCAGAACCGCAACTGAGACCATTTGACACCGCGCGCAGGGGAAGGGGGGTGGGGGTGTTATGGTGCGCAGCTCCGTGGCTTCTGAGTAAATGAAAATGATTTAACACAGTTGTTTATACTTTTAACAGCTCTTTTTATCCCACAGCTGACCTGCTAAAAATGACAGATTTTCTTTTCTGGATCTCTGACAGACGGACWTCAATCTCTGAACTCGTAAAGTTCTTCTTTTTTGTTTTTGCTGTCATTTTTCATGAATGGACACTTCCTTGTTATCTGAGGCAGAAAAAATAGCCTTATATGGTGTTTTTGGGGTGGTAATTATGCTAATCTCCTCTCACGTGCACGAGCACCTGGATAGAACAGGTGGAATTTACACAGCTCATTTACACACTTTTCCTCAAGATAGAAGAGTTTGTTGAATCTGACGTGACATGTTCGTACGAACCCTTTGTACGAACAAAAGTAAGAGAAATTCAGGATAAGAATACGAACATGTTCTTGCGTGAGGCCCAATAATGAGCCCAAAGAATCGAGTCCCCAAAACCCGTGTAGCCATAGTTCAGAATATGGATGTTAACTATTCATTCTGTGCGGCCCTCAGCTTGCTCCAGGAACCAGATCACAGACGGGTGTTGGTGGGGGGAGGTCCTCAGTCGACGTAAAAATCCAGGAAGAATTTAGTCCAACAGCTCTCAAGGCCATGTAGGGGAGAGCCAAATTCTGTAATCAGTTGTTTTGGGAACAGAAGAGCCAAGCAGACAATTACAATTTTCCCTCAGCCTTAATGTCTGCTGGTACATCTCAAGGTGGTGAATCCAATCAGACAAATAGTGTGGACAAATTCCGCCAAGCCGTGCTATCAGCTTCTCCAAGATCAATTCCATCTGGCCAGCAAAGTCCAGGAATCATAACCAGCCTGTGACCCTCAGCAGAACCGCTTGCAGACCGAGTCCAGCTCGCTCAAGGCAAAAGTCTGAGTGCTGATAGTTCGGCCATCCTTCATAATGTTCAGGCAGCCAGGAAATGAAAAGGCACCAACGCTGTTTGTAGAGCACCAGGAGACCACCAAGCCAATTTGTAGAATCCAGTGATCGGAATCCAAATATATATCCAGAACAGAGCGGAACAGAGGTCCCACCTTTGACGTGTCCTCCCATGGAAGAAAAACTTTGTTCCAAAAAAATTTATTAAGAGACCAGCCAAATCTAGCCTGGCCCTTGCCTTCCTACGCAGTTCCGCTCAATTCTAGTTTCCCTTCACTGCTCCGTCTGGGACTTCTCCCATTGAGATGGATTTCGCTGGCAGATTTTAAGCCGGGCCAATCAGAGAACAGAACGTCAATTTTCTGCGCAGAGTCTGCTTGTAGTTTATTTTACCTGGGCCAATCAGCAAACAGAAGGAGGAGTTTTTGAATGACTTTGATGTTCTGCGCAGTGTCTGCTAGTTATTTTAGCATACGGCAGTGGAGGAAGTGAATGAAGCCAGTCTGTGTTGACAAGGCTTCCAAATTAAATTAAATTTGTCTGACAAAGCAGCAGCTCTCATTTACAGTTGTCTCGTTAGGCTCGGTACTTTTCTCCTCTCAGTAGAGTTGTTTACAGCACACGATTTCCAGTTAGTTTCTTAGCTTAGCCTCCTTCACACCGACAACACACACATGCTTCAGCAGAGGCCACGCCTCCTGCAAGAAACGATTCTCTATGCATCAAGTCCAGACCCTTGTACGAAGCAAAGTGAAGGACAGGGTCTGGTTTTAACCAGGCTAAGCCAAATCCATAAAAATAAAATAATATCCATAATTTCTGGTTTCGGATGAAAACGTAGAGAAGGCTCAGAGCAGCAAAGCAGGGGAAATAAGGGAGGGCAAGAAAGAGGGATCTTGCTCCTCCAAGAGCAGAACAAAAAGATAAATAAATAAATAAACACATAAATAAATAAATGATAATGAAATCTTTAGGAAAGTAACAGGCCTAAATTATGGTGTCAAATTCATTTTCATGAGGCCACATGAGGATTGTGGTGGCCCCCAAAGACCAGTTGTGATTAACTTCAACATTTTGTGTTCAACTAAAAACTTAAAACTTTCATCATTTCATTGCTACAGCTGTAACTGAGCTCTACGTGGTATTTCCTGCATAGAAACAGAGTTTTAACATGTCCTCTTAGAAACACTGAAAAGTACTACATGTACGACTGATTAAATGTAAAATAAATAATGTATAATAAAAGTAAAAGTAAAACGTTTTACTCACTGTGGAGTTGTGGAGAGTTGCCATCTAGAATTCTGAACTCTTTCACGCAGGAATTTCTACTGGAGATGCGTTTTAGTTTAAATTTACAACTTTGCGCAGGTAATTTCCACTTCCCGAAGTAAAAGTAGCTGGTGAACAAGAAGGGAATGGAGATTTTACACAGTGAATTTTTCCAGCTGCTTTTGAACAGAAGAGTTATGTTTTGAACCAGACTTGAATATATGTACCTTCATGTTTCGAAACATAGACTTAAATAGAACCTGTACACCTCCACCTAGTGGTGGGATACCATCATTTTGCAGGTAATCAGCTTGCAATATGGGGGATGTAGCTTATGGTCAATGCTGGCTTTAAAGCTCCAGTTTGGAGTGGTTATAGCAGAGAGTCATGCCCATCTAGATTTCTGCACATTACGCAACATTTTTGCACTTTTCTTCTCCTTACAGTCACTCAGTTTGTGAGGATGTTCAGCTCTTTGTAGATTTACGTGGCCCATATTTCTACCATTTCTTGATGATGAATTCACTGCTACGGATGTTTGGAGCCTTGGAATTCTTGCACTTTTTAATAATACTTTCTTTAAGATGAAGTCACTTTAAAAGGGGGTGAATATTTATGCAGTTATTTTACCTTACATATATTTAATTGACATTAATCGGTTGAACTTTAGTATCACTTGACATTGAAGCAAGATCATTTTTTTAGCAAAGAAAGCCAATTTATAGTAAATAGTATTTATCCCCATTTAATATTAGGAATGAATATTTTTATAAACACTATAAATAACAATGTTGTAGTTATGTATGAAAAATCCTGCAGCTTTAAGAAAATATTTAATACATCTTCAGTTTTCTACCCCCGATATAAAAAGGCTACACAATTTATTTAACACAGAATTTTTATTGATTTTAATAGTAACAAATCTTAGTTACAACAAATTTAACATTCTTTAGAGTCATTCAGATGTTTAAACACTAGAGGGAAGATAAAAATAAGAATTGGGATGTAGGAAACGTGATGTCAGACTCCAGTGTATAAATGTAAAGTAAAGCACTTGTGGCAGTTTTTTGCATGTTAATCGTTCAGAAATGTAAAAGAGGAGCAAAACAAATTAAATCTGACTATGAAACATTTGACACATGCATCTTTTTAGTTCCACTTAATCATAAAAATGAAGAGCAAAAAAATCTTAATATTATCTTGTGATTGTGCTAAAATTGAAAATAAATTACTTTTCAAATCTTCACATTAATTTGCATATTCAGTTTTTGGCAGTTAGGAACTAAAAAGTCACTTAATAGATGTAATCAGAACCACAGAAATGTGTATTTTGTACCCAGTAGTGAGAAACTAAATGAATTTCTCACATATTTCCAGCTTCCTCAGTGTGTTAGTGAAAAAACTTTTACTACTTCTCATTTAATGAAAAAAACAGATTAACTTGTCAACAATTGTCATTTATTTAATTTTGTTCGTCAGACCACCCTGTATTATGAAGTAAAGATCACATAAAGTGATCATCTGTATAAGTCACTAAGCCCAATGTGATGAATTTCATCCAGTCATTTCAGGAAACTCAACCCACAAGCTGATGGTTTTATTTCATCCCAAGGTGGAAGATCTTCCTGAACGGTCCTGGACCGCCCCACAGGCCCCTGATGAATGAATAAAAAACAAAAGTTTTTTAGCAGCATATGTGGAAAAATGAATCAATAGACTTTAATTCAGTGTATATGTACCGGAGAAGGCCGTGCCAGTAGAGATAGGGCATCACGTCAGCCTTCATGTAGTACATTAATCTTCTCTCTTTAGCCTGGTTGATGGGGAAGGTTTCCAGCGGCTGTCCGTTGTAGTCGAACTCCGCCAGGACGACTGTGTTGTAGCTCGTCACCAGCGGACAGGAGGTGTAGCCGTCATACTGCAAACATAAACAAGACTGATGTGTATTTACATGCTTAATTTTACAGGGGAGCTGAAAACAGTTAGGACATTAATATTTAATGCTAATGCAGGGTCATCCCTGTGTTCCCTGTTAACCATGTTCCCTGGTTCCTAAACTTTCCTTTGGTTAATAATGAAAGTCATGAAAGATGCTTGACTCCTCATTTAAATGTCTAAAAATAAATGAAAAAAAATACAAATTTATAGTGCAGGCATTGCACCTCTGAACATAGGAACCAGGGAACATGGGTACCAGGGAACATAGGAACCAGGGAACATAGGAAATGAGAACCATAGGAACCAGGGAACATAGGAACTGAGAACCACAGGAACTGAGAACCATAGGTACGAGGGAACACAGGAACTGAGAAACATAGGTACAAGGGAACGTAGTTACCAGGGCACATAGGAACCAGGGAACATAGGAACTGAGAAACATAGGTACAAGGGAACGTAGTTACCAGGGCACATAGGAACCAGGGAACATAGGAACTGAGAAACATAGGTACAAGGGAACATAGGTACCAGTGAACATAGGAACTGAGATCTATATGTGCCAGGGAACATAGGAACTGAGAACCATATGTACCAGGGAACATAGGAACTGAGAACCTATGCACCAGGGAACATAGGAACTGAGAAACATAGGTACCAGGGAACATAGGAACTGAGGACCATAGGTACTAGGGAACATAGGAACTGAGAAACATAGGTACAAGGGAACATAGGAACTGAGAACCATAGGTGCAAAGGAACATAGGTACCAGGGAACATAGGAACTGAGAACCATAGGTACAAGGGAACATAGGTACCAGGGAACATAGGAACTGAGAACCATAGGTACAAGGGAACATAGGTACCAGGGAACATAGGAACTGAGAACCATAGGTACAAAGGAACATAGGTACNATAGGAACTGAGAACCATAGGTACAAAGGAACATAGGTACTAGGGAAAATAGGAACTGAGAACCATAGGTACAAGGGAACACAGGTACCAGGGAACATAGGAACTGAGAACTATAGGTACCAGGGAACATGGTACTAGGGAACATAGGAATTGAGAACCATAGGTACCAGGAAACATAGGAATTGAAAAAATATTGGTACCAGGGAACATAGGAACCAGGGACCATAGGAACTGACTGTCCAACTGTCCAACAGGCAGCTTAAGCCATTGCGAAAATAGAAAAATAAAAAAGCTGTGGTGGATTTATTGTCTGGTAATTGGACTTTTGTCACAGCACTGTTTATAAGTGTGTGTGTGTGAGCATAGGCAGCCAGTTTGTCTGAAACCTCCCAGGATATCTGCTCCTCTCAGCCTGCTTCGTCCAGCTTAAGCTGTATGCACTTGTCTCCTTTACTTCTCTCCAAGAAGAGTTTGTAGGAGGAGTTTACAAGTTCTGCCTCGGCTCAGCCAATCCACATGTCTGCTGACGTCAAAATCGTAAACGCACAGTACTTTGTTCTACTCACTTAGAACCACTGTGGCGCGGTTGGAACTGGAAATGGAGACACATTTGGCCAAGGCTGAAGTGAGGAGAACCGCATAAAGGCGCCCCTGGAGAGGGGACTGTGGTTACAGGGGGAAACATGCATATGCTCATGCAGTGTTTACCTTCTTATCTGGCTGCTGATTTTTCAGTATTTTGCTGATCGTTCTGTGCAGGATTGCAGACTGTGCAGCTAAAAAGAAGAAAGAGAAAACAAGAGTGAATTCTTTCAACAGAATCCCATTCTGTTACTTGAATTAACCATGACAACATTAACAATGATGTTTAGATCAGCCAGTCCCAGCATGCTTGGAGTAAAACCAACATGCTTATTATCGCTGCACAGCGACAGCACAAATATTGACAATCACATCTAGAGTACAGGCATACAGTTACAATGAGATGTTTCAGCAATAGTACAAACCTCTTACAAAACAAAATATTCGCTGAAGAATCACCCAGTGTCAGTTTCTGCAGAAATGCTCAAATCTTTTTCTGCAAGCTTGATTCATGGTGGACTTTCCTATTTGACTCATTAGCGTCACTTGTGTTTGGATATGGAACTGCATCCACCATCCTTGTTCTCAGGCAGAGGACAGTTGAATGACAGGACAGGGGCACTTCAGGGGGCAATACACCTGTGGCCCCACAACTAGAACCACCCTGTTTCAAATGATCTCCTTTGCCAAAAGCCCAGGCATGTAACGCATTTTACACTGTCCCAGATTTCTAGATGGGTGTTTACTGTACAGTGTCCAACCTGTACAGTTATTGTGACATAATAAAAATAATAAAAGGATTTAAAAAAAAATCAGTTATAAGCATTACAACTGTAGGAGTGCTTTAAAGTAAACAAGACTGATCAAAGGCCAGTGTGCTCTAAACTTAACAGCTGACACCGGCAGCTCGTTAAAATGTTTCAACCAATCAGAAACCTGAGCTACCTGCAGCACTCTGCTCTAAATTAGGCTCACAGCAGTCAAACCCTGTGGCTCCTACCTTTGACAAGAATTAGGTAGAACATATTAATTATTTGTAGATTTTAACTTTATCTGAAGTGCATGACTGACTCAAACCCAAACAAATCAGACCAATACAGATTAGATTACATTATTGAGATTACAGTCTTTACTATTCTGACCTAATCTAGCAGTTTATCCTCTGCAGCAGACGGTTTAGGATCACTTAAACAGCTTGACAGACTTGTGTGTGGCTCTGTGGGATTATTTATTTATTTAACCTTTATTTATCCAGGTAAACTGTTTGAGAACCACTTCTCATTTACAAACATGACCTGGGATTATCTTCCTCAAGAGTCAAAATATCAAAATTATGCATCATTTATTTTAGCACCAATTAAATCCATGAGTGATAAAATAAATGTATATATCATAGCATTAATTGAAGCTAAATTAAGCATATTAAAACCTGCCAACATCATATTAAGCACACGTAAATCTGCCTTTTTTCTCTACAGATGATTCACCAACATAGTGTAAACTCTGCAGCTCCCTGTGGGCTAAAAACAGCAACTCTGTTGACACTGAAAATAACACCAACACACCTTGAGCCCGGCTGTTTGCAGGAAACCAACTCTTCTACTGTTTGTTCAAGTCTAAACATTTGGTCGTTTCCCCAGGATTTGAAAATATAGTAAAACATGTTTAATGTGCCTTTTTTTAATGACAAAGCAAAAACAGAGATTTCAGCAGAGGTTACAAATTTAAAATTACCACCTAAAACACATTTGGATCACCTGTATACGTTTCATTACTCACACTGCATGATAGAGCTTTAAAAAAAGCTTTAAGGAAAATCTATTAAGGACTGTTACAACCATGTTTTTGCATTTGACTATTAAATCCCAATGATTAACATAACTGAAACAGAAGAAACCTGACACCAGTTCTTTGTGGAGATTTTTCAGAATGACGATATCAGCTGCGCTCCACGAGTGAACATTTTACATCTAAAACAACTCGATGAAAGCAATCAAGTAAAATATGGGCTGAGCAAGGTTGGAAAAAAGCTAAACATGTCAAAAGACTGTTTAAAAGCTAAAATTAGCAAGAACGAATGAATGAATGAATGAATGAATGAATGAATGAATGAATGAATGAATGAATGAATGAATGAATAAGCTAGCTAAAAGCAGCAAACATACGAAAAATAAAAAGTAGTTGCAGAACATTTGTTACAGAGTTGAATGAGGAAAAAAAATCAGGGAAGGGTTGGCTAAATTTAGCAGAATGGTAGCTAAAACGTTAAAGCGGTGTAAGAAGACAAAACAAGTCACGTAGATTGATGTCATTGTATTGTTTAAGGAGACTATAGCTCTTAATAAAACCAAAAGTCAGAGAATTCACACAATAAATATGCTGCTCTAACCTTGTTTAATCTTGTAATATTACTCCACATTCCTAGATATTTTTGGTAACTCCTCTTGTTCTCTTTGCCAGATTTGTCAGCATGATGATTAACTCGCACATTAAAAAAGCCATTTACAACTTTCCATGTAGGGGTGTAAGAAAATATCGATACACTGAAATATCGTGATATTTCATTTCCCAATACTGTATCGATATTCTAAAGCCCTGTATCGATTTTTTTATTAAGGTTTAAAATGTCAACTTTCCTGCCAGCCGTTCATTTTTATGTTGTAGTTCAGCCTCTGACCACTAGTTGGCAGCAGTGAGTCAGCCATTTGGCTCCTCTACCTCTTGAGGTGGAGGCTATTGTTAACTGTTGTGTAAATTAATATTAAAAAATAAAAGCTGCAAAAAATATATTTTCTAACTATTTATTGTCAAATTTAGTCTAATAATTGAAAACATGGATGAAATAAGAAATATGAAACAAATAAAATAAAAAACATACAGAGCAGAACACAGCTAAATGTATCAAAAGTATGTCTATGTAACATTAGAATTTTCTGAGACAATGAATTTTGGTTTTTCATTTTTTTCCCTGTAAGAGATTTTTATTTAATAGAATTTTTGGACAAAAAAATCGCAATATATCGCCTTGTTTATAGAATCGCAATACCAGGATATATCGTATCGTGACCCCTCTGTCATGATATGTATCGTATCGCCAAATTCTTGCCAATACACAGCCCTATTTCCATGTGTACATTTGTTTGGCGTTACACCTCCAAGACCAGAAATAGCCTTGTGTTTACAAAGATGCTTTGAGGTAAATAAATCTTTCCGCTGATGTAACGAGAGACTTTGGGAATGATTTACCCTTCAGCTCAACAATGACTCAGCAACAAACGAAAACTTGGATCTGGCTCAGTAATACATTTTCACACATGCACAGCATTCCAGAAATGCTTCAGAATGACTGAATGAATGAGAGTAAATCATCCCAACCAAACAGATCCAGCTGTGTGAAAGTGAAAACTGAAGAGTGCTATTTACGCTGAGGCACTCAAATGAACATCAAGCGGTATACTGTCTCACAACTTTTCTTTGCAACTCTCAAAATGATTCTCCAAACTGAGACTGATCGTCTGACTGATGACAACTCTACCAAAAATAAAAATAAAAATTTATTTAAAAAAAATAAATCAATTATTTCCTTCACAACAATGCAAAAACAAGATGAACCATCCCAGTCTAGGTCATCTAAATTTACACTTTTTGCACAAAATCTGAAACTACCACAGAGATCAACTCATCTAGAGTCATCATAGAGTCTTGATACTTTTCTTACTAATAAATATATATTTTTAATTACCCATCCACTGTTAAAAAGGTGAAAACAGGTGATAATATTTTGTGCATATTCATGTGTCTGTCACCAAAATGTTTAGAAGTGTTTTCAGCTGTTAGCATTAGCTAACCAGGATGGTTTTATTATCTTGTGATAAATGTAGTTGCTGTTAGCTGCTGTTAACACTTCTAATGCTGCTGAAGATGGTATTTAAAAATCTAAATTCAAAACGTGTTCATTGAAAACAATATGGATGGTTCCTGTGGTCAGGCAGTAACTGCAAGTTTGATGTTTCGTAGGGAAGCGTTTGCAGCGTTAGCTTTTGCGTTTGTCTCAAGATGATGATGTAATAAAGCTGAGCACCAACAGCAAAGGCTGTTCCCTTCCAAAATACTTAAATGTACAGTAAACTCCAACATTTATTAATTTAGGATTTAAATATTTACATGTTTTTTTTAACATTTACTAAAAAAAAGGTACCAAAATGTAAGAACAGTGAGCTAAATAACAGTAAAATGTTTGTGGAAATTTTTTAAACACACAGAAAGTGAAATAAATAATGAAAATGTGTTAGTGACATTTTCTAACATTTTATTTTACTCTTTGCATCCCATTAACAGCTGCAATAAGATGATCTCAGTCTAAAAAGCTGGCATGGTATACAACAGGCGACACGCATCCTTTCAGGAAACAGGCAGCCTCCATCAGCTTTTATCTGATTAATTAAAGTTTTCTCAATTTTCATTCAAACAAAATCATATTGTGAACAGATAAAAAAATATTTTTTTAATTAAATTGAAAAACTGATTTAAAACAAGAATCTGTAAAAATTTCTCATTCTAAATTAAAACAGGCCAGACTTTTCTGACCTTTAGTTGACTGGAATCCCCTATCATTTACAGTGGTTTGCAAAAGTATTCATACCCCTTGAACTTTTCCATATTTTGTCACATTACAACCACAAACATAAATATATTTCACTGGAA